CTTTTTTATAAATATATAAATATAATATATAAATATTTCCATAGCTTCTACTCTGACGAGCTATTTTCACTGGTTCCTCGACTACATAAATTTAAGCGTGCTACTAGGTTGGGGACTCGGTTCCAACCTTTTACTGTTGAAACAGTTAAATGTAACCGCCTCTTCTACTCCAACAGCTTCTTCTCTTGCACTTCCCGACAGCGAAACTCTCTTCCTCTTACTTGCTTCCCTGATAGCTATAATCTTCAAATATTCAAATGTAATGCTTTTCTCTGATGCCTTGATCATGATCCCTGTCCTTCTCTTCATCCTTTCCTCAGACACCCCTTTTTACTCTTACTTTCACTGTCTGTAACCTCTTATTCTTAATATATATATATATATATATATATATATATATATATAATAGTAATAATAGCTGGCCACTCGTATTCAAGGTCATCCCTATTGTAGACGTCTGCTCTGTGGTTCATACTTAGCTATGCTGAGCAGACCTTAGTTAGAGTTTCTGGGAATGAGCGTGTTATCTAGCATGATCAACAATATGAACATGGCCGGTACGCTCAAAGCCTCAGTCACGATGACTTGTGACTTTGTGCTAGCTAGATTTTATGATTTCTATGGAGATAATAATGAATTTACTGATTCAATTCCTGCTTATTAACCAATCGATAGGAAGGAGAGAAGTTGCGCATTCCTACCTTCCCCGAGGATATTTTGCGCGTAGATGAACATAACGAACCCGAGTGGAATTGGAACTCGCCGATTTCGACCTCAGAGCCGGTATCCATTACGCAGCTCACATATACGAGCTTACATCACCTGGTGTTCTCAAGTGGTCACTCATCTAGATACTGACGAGGCTCGATTTTGCTGAACTTGTGTACCCGGAATGTTTCAATGTCTCAATTTTGGGACCTATCATTTCCATATTTAACTTTTCCATTGCATGTCATATGAACTCTGGTAAAGACATGCAATGATAACAGCAAAAATTGTAATATGAGCACTGGTAAAAATGATGCTCAAAACATTAGGTTTATAATATTCAGAATTTCATACCCAGATGTCCTCAAGGACTCATGGCACAGTGGATAAAGGCGTTGGTTAGATCCTTGAGGCATGGACTTCCAGAAATTCCTTTATTACTGCAATCTTTTCCAACCAATCCTAGGGCTCCAACTACAACAGGTATTATTGATGTTCCTATGTGCCACATTTTCGAGATTTCTATTTCAAGGTTCTTGTATTTTGAGAGCTTTTTGAATATCTCCAGGACAGCTGGCACGGTGAAGGACACATGGCACAGTGGATAAAGGCGTTGGTTAGATCCAGTGACAGGACCCAAAGAGTGTGAGTTCAATAGCCGGTTAAGGCAGTGGAGAACTTTCAGAGGGAAAATTAGCAGAGGATAACTGATAACTGACATCCATCAAACATGGCACGTGGAACTAGAACAGTTTACCCCAGTGATCGAAATAAAGGGTTCAGTTCGAAATTCCAACCACCTGAAGAAGGCCGGAGCGTACAACGGCCGAAACGTTGTGACAAATATGGCGACAAAGATGAGGACAATAGTCCGACTAATGTAAATACTGTCAAAGAAACATATACACATAAGGAAAAGAAGGAATGCAGTAACGACATTTTCTTATGAAATTCAAAAGCGTGTTACCTTTATTTAACTTCTGTTTACCTGATCTGTTTACACGACCTACTCATGCAAGCTTTCTGTCGCTGGTATTCCCAAGCAGTCACCCATCTATTTACTGACTAGGTTCGACGTTACTGAACTTCGGTAGGCTTACGAGAACCGGTGATTCAAACATGATATGGCCAGACAATTAACAATGGAATACAGGGGAAATGTGGATCAGTCGACTCTGTGTACGAGGCATGTTTTGGTCTAAACTTGGGTCAAATAGTCTGGTGATACTTCATCTATGGAGAAGGGAGTTGTATTCCCAAACGGTCACCTGCCAAGGTACTGACCAGGTCCGACGTTGATTAATTACGGTGATCGTACGGAAATCGGTATTTCAACGCAATATAGCCGCTAACCGTTAATGTGTTTGATCCTCACTAGGTGCCTCACAGCTGTGGTTTTGTGCCAAGATTAGGTAATAAATATACTACTTACTGATTTATTTTGTGTATCAATTTGAAATAATGATATTAAGAAAAAAATACTATTAGTGATTTATCTGAATGCCCGTGCTTCGGATTATCTTCGTAAACAAAACGCTAATCCTGCTCTAGGTTACAGTGTTGGGATTATTTGCTTAGAAAACACTAATGTCATCAGTATCGTCATAGTAACCGTGATACGGCTAAATTTATCAGTCACACCCTGATCATCATTTGAATATATTTTAGTCACTTTTTTTCTTTTTTTTTTGGATAATATTTCCTTCAACTTCCTTTCTTTCTAGTTTCAATTTTGGGAATTTTTCATATCTTTTTTTTTCTTTCATTTTTCACATTTTGTCTCAGTTTTCAACCACCTTAGTTTCCTTTCTTTCTCCATACGGTCAGTTTTAGACCCCCTGGAGTGACAGGGTGTAATCGATTTCTATTTTTTTCCTCAGACTAGATCATTTGCAGTTGTGTGCAGTAATATGAATCTATTTTCGGGGTGTATGATGAAATTTGTTTGGCCTTGCAAAATATTACGTCTTCTGTGATTGCATCGAATTTTTATCACGCCCAGGCAATATTTTAATAAAATCTGACTGACTAATAAAATAATAATAATAAATACTAATAAATATAAAATTCATAACTAATTTAAGAAATTGTATACATTTTTATAAATCTATGTATAAAACTGTTTGTTTCCATATTTATTTCTTTATAATATGCTAAATAATAAATATTTCATTGTACACCCTTGTGCAAATTAATTGATACAACAGCTTTTCTTTCACCATACGGTCAGTTTTAAGCCCACTGGAGTGAAAAGGTGTAAACGATATGTATTTTCTCCTCAGATTAGGTCATTTGCAGTGGTGTGCAGTAGTATGAATCTATTTCTGGAGTGTATGATGAAATTTGTTTGGCCTTGAAAAATATTGCGTCGTCTGTAATTGCATCGGATTTTTATCACGCCCATGCGCTATTGTCTCGAATGTCGATTAGTTGTCCTACGGTCATTGTCTGCAATGAACGTTAGTCAAAGGAAGCGTGCGAAAATTGTAACGCTGCACAAACACACAGTTAAGCCTTACCATACCTTCACCATACGGTCACTTTTAAGCCCACTGCAGTGACAGGGTGTAAACGGTATCTATTTTTTGTCTTCAGATTAAGTCATTTGCAGTGGTATGCAGTCGTCTGAATCGGTTTTCGGGGTGTATGAGCAAATGAAACTACTATAGATGGGCCTGGAAACTCTCCTGATTTAAATCCAATCGAGAATCTGTAGTCAATTAATTTCAACACGTGACTCAATGTCTTGTTGTTGTTTGTTATTGTTGTACGTTTTATTCATTTCATTTTCAGTATAAAAAATGAGAATCCTCCATCAACTACAAATACATTTACACCCTTGTGCAAATTAATTGAAACAACAGCTTTATTTTCCTTTCTTTCGCCATACGATCAGTTTTAGACCCCCCTGGAGTGACCGGGTGTAATTGATTTCTATTTTTTCCTCAGATTAGGTCATTTGTAGTGGTGTACATTAATATGAATCTATTTTCTGGATGTATGATGAAATTTGTTTGGCCTTGAACAATATTGCGTCATTCGTGATTACATCAGATTTTCATTACGCCCAGACACTACTTTCTCGACTGTCGATTAGTTGTGCTACGGCCATTGCCTGCGATGGACGTTACTCCAAGGAAGCGTACGAAAATTGTAACGCCACACGAACACAATGGCCCTACCTATGAACAAATCAAAGTACTATATTTGATTTAAATCCAATCGAGAATCTGTGGTCAACCTGCAAGTAACGACTTCGTGGAATGTGCATATGAAGTAGGAACATGTGCACTGGGTCATGTTTCATTGAAAAAATATGAAAAAGAAGTAAATAATAACGGAATTATTCGTTTAGTTTCAATTAATTTACACGAGGTTGTAGAATAAACTGAAGGACCCACCAGGGTTCATGTGATAGCTATAAAAGACTTTTTGAAATAAGGACTTTTTTCGCCACTTTTAAGCATAAACCAGGTTGACCCTATTCGCGTTCCCAACATGCCACTGCGAGGAATTCCACTGAGGTTAGTTGCTCAATTCCTTTTCGGGTTACTATTCACTAATGTCTCTTTTGGATGTTTGTAGCAATTTCTCTTTCCAAAAACTGAAATTCTATGGCAGTTTTATGTCTTGCATATTTTTCCAGTGACGTAGCCATTTAAAAAGAGAATTATATGGAAGAAAAATTAAGTTACATTGAAAAATATTCCCTTGGGATTTAAGACATTTTGTAGTTGATAGCTTAAAATGAACTCGAGTTACTGATATGTTGAAAATATATTTAAACGTATAGCAAGGATTACGAATTGACAACACAAATTGGAAAAAAATATGAAAAAAAAAGTAAATATGCGTTTTGTTTTTATTAGTTGAATGGGTGCATTCCTCATCCCCCCTTCTTTTCAAACTTTTCTACGTTCTCTATTCTGCCGTTATTATTTTTAGCTTTCAATTTGAAATTTAATTTTTTCTTGCCCATTTATTTACACAATTTTTATACGGACTGATGTCCTCGTCCTTTCGAAGGTTGCCCCCGCCCCTCCGGTCTTCATCAGGTGTATATTGATCCGGCTAACCTACATCGAACTCTGAACAGAATCCTTTATTCAATCTACGGGCATAGAACATTCTCGTCCCACTACTCATGTCTAGGGATAGCTCGTCTATTTCTTATTTTGAGTAGTGCTCAGTGATTGGTTGCCCTGTTTTCCTCTGGTTCGACAGACAGACAAACATATAGCTAGCTAGCTAGCTAGCTAGCTAGATAGATAGATAGATAGATAGATAGATAGCTAAACAGATATATTTATTTGAACAGACTCAAAAAATAGATAGATAGATAGATAGATAGATAGATAGATAGATAGGAAACTAAAAAGGCAGACAAGCATACAGATAGATTTTAACAGACTCAGAAAATAGATAGATACATAGATAGATTCGACCAGACTCAGAAAATAGATAGATAGATAGATAATGAACAGTCTGAGATAGATAGATAGATAGATAGATAGATAGATAGATAGATAGATAGATAGCTAAACAGATATATTTATTTGAACAGACTCAAAAAATAGATAGATAGATAGATAGATAGATAGATAGATAGATAGATAGGAAAATAAAAAGGCAGACAAGCATACAGATAGAGTTTAACAGACTCAGAAAATAGATAGATACATAGATAGATTCGACCAGACTCAGAAAATAGATAGATAGATAGATAGATAGATAATGAACAGTCTGAGATAGATAGATAGATAGATAGATAGATAGATAGATAGCTAAACAGATATATTTATTTGAACAGACTCAAAAAATAGATAGATAGATAGATAGATAGATAGATAGATAGATAGATAGATAGATAGATAGATAATGAACCGAGATAGATAGATAGATAGATGGATATACATACAATGAACTGAGATAGATAGATAGATAGAGAGATAGATAGATAGAGAGATAGATAGATAGATAGATAGATAGATGAAAAGAAAAAAATGAATGAATTTGAAAATCCATTCCAGATAAATTCAGCAGACAGTGAGATCAACCGTTTCGAAACAAGATCTGATGCTTTCCCCCCCCCCCGCACCATTGTCTTTGCCTCCGATCTATTGATTCCACCATTACGAACACCTGTTCATCTGTGGGGTCTGTGACAACTTTAAAAATTTATTTACAAAAAAAAAAAAAAAAAGGAAGGACACAATTGGTTGGGCGACATTTTGTCGGTCGGAACAGCACATTGCTGCTTGAAGCAGCTTTGTCCAACGCGTAATCAGATTTGAAAAGTATCCTCAAGTATTGAAGAGCTAAGTTCGAATAGAATTTCTTTCTCAATGTACATGTAAGTAACGTCAACGAGCATTGTTAGTTTTCCTCTTCTCTTTTTCTTTTTTTTTCTTTTTTTTTTTTTGTTCGGCTTCCTGTCTTTTACAGCGAGGAATCGATTTTAAGCCATATTTCAAGAATCCGTTCAAGTAAATTCCAGAAAGGATTATGTCTTTGATGGATTGTCAGGCAAGGAAGAATTTTAATTCCCCTCCCTCTCTCCCTCTTTAAGATTCAATTTCCTCAAACATCGCGCTTTACTCATTTGCTCTTGGTGTCTCTATTTCTCACTCTTTCTTTTTATCTTTCTATACTATACTCCCTCTATCTTTCTCCTCCCTCCCTGTCTCTCTTCTTATCTTTCCTTCTCTTTTCAAACTCTTCACTCAGTCAATCCTATTAATAATCCTTTAAATTCTTATTGCTTTCTTTTACGTTCAGGTTCTATTTTAATGTCTTTCTACGCGAAATACTCACGCATTCTTTCTTTCTTTCTTTCTTTCTTTCTTTCTTTCTTTCCTTTATTTTCTTTCCTTTCCTTTTCTTTTATTTATTTCCATTTCTTTCTTTCTTTCTTTCTTTACTTTTCTTTTGTTTGTTTGTTTCTTTCTTTTTTCTTTCTTTTTTATTTTCTTTCCTTTCCTTTTCTTTTATTTATTTCCCTTTCTTTCTTTCTTTACTTTTCTTTTGCTTGTTTGTTTGTTTGTTTGTTTGTTTCTTTCTTTCTTTTTCTTTTTCTTTATTTCTTTCTTTACTTTCTTTAATTTCTTTCTTTTTTCTTTCTGTCTTACCATTTCTTTACTTTTCTTTTTTTTCTTTTTCTTTTCTTTCTTTCCATTTCTTTCCTTTTCTTTATTTCCTTGTTTTTCTTTTCTTTCTATTCTTCATTCTTTCTTTTCTTTCTTTTTTCTTTATTTCTTTTTTCTTTCTTTCTTTCTTTCTTTCTTTCTTTCTTTCTTTTTTCTTTCTTTCTTGCGTTTCATTTCTTTTCTTTTCTTCCCTTTTCTTTCTTTCTTACATTTTCTTTTTTCTTTTTCTTTCATTCATTTTTTACTTTCTTTCTTTCTTTCTTTCTTTCTCGTTCTACTACTTTTCCTTCCTTTCTTTTGCAATTTTCTTTCAGCGATATCAGCCTTTCAGTCTGTCTTTCTTTTTTTCTTTGTTTCTTTCTTCCTTTTCCAATTTTCTTTATCGTTCTACTACTTTTTCTTTTCTTTCTTTTCCGGTTTTCTTTCTGCGATATAACCCTTTCAGTCTCTTTATTCTTTCTTTCTTTCTTTCTTTCTTTTCTTTCTTTCTTTCTTTCTTTCTTTTCAATGAATTTCTGCTTTTTTCTCTTTCTTGTTTTTACTTTATCTTTTAAGCTTAATTTTCCCTAATTATTTTTCTTTCTATTTCCTTCACTTTCCTTTCCCTCTCTATCATTTATTCTTTCTTTTTTTTGTATTTATTGTTTCATTCCTTTTTTCTTCTCTTTTCTTGTTCGTTTCCTATCTCTTTTCACTAAAGATTTCCTTTTATTTTTTTCTTTCTGAACTTCTTTCTCCCTTTCTTTCTATGATTCATACTTTCTTTCTTGATTTCTTTCTTGCTTTTTTTTTCAATTGTTTTCTTTTTCGGGAGGGTTAGGGGAACGCTAAATATCACTATTATCTTTTTTTTTTTTAAGTTTTGAATATGTTTCTTTTTTTTTTCTCACACCATCCAGCCAAAATATATTTGTCCGCTCGAGCAAGCGGTACGAAATGAAAGAAAGAAAAAAAAATGACAAACTTTAAACTCGGGTCTCGCGTATCAAGTACTTAATAAAGTAACGCCCATAAAAGATAGGCGCCCTAGGTGAATTTAGAGTTCAAATTTCTTCCAGGGCCAGTTCTTTATTTCCTATTTTGTAATCTTTTGTCTGTTAATAAATGAATTTGAATTGATCTTCGAAATTATAATTGCCCATTCGAAGTGGCTGAAGAAGGAATCCGCAGGGTGCACTGTTATAAAAAGTAGCCATTGTAGAAAAGATGCAGCTAGCAGATGTCGAAAAGATGTAAAAGAAAAAAAGATGCAGCTATAATAAGTAGAAAAAACAAATTAACAATAAAACCAGACTAATATTTGTCAGTTAATAAATGAATTTGGATTGATCTTAGAATTTATAATTACACATGCGACTGTGTTTCAAATTGCGAACTTCGTAATTTCTCGTCATTCGCAGGTAAGCCATAGAATTACAGTGACGGATATTCTCGTCATCCGCAGTTAATGTACTGATGATACTATTAGCAGTTTCTTTACAAGGTAACAATTATTGACCGACCCCACCATTGTTAATATCTATTGTAGTTTATAAAATCTTTCTCTTAAAATAATTTTTCAACAAAATAAGTTTCTCAAGTCCAGTATTATCACATTTTGTTAATATTAACTAGGGTTTCCTTTCTAACGTTTTGTCTGACACGGTGTATGTCAACATTTTGATTATTTTAAGTTTATCGGCTAGTTTATGTCAACATCTTGATTATGTCAGGTTTATTGGCTAGAATTGTGATATCCATTTTAGTTGTTGCTGCTTTTGAAGGTCCTCAAGTGGTGTGGTTGCTGTTATTTGGTACAGTCGTTTGTTTGTGATTACCTCCCGCCAATAAACGATGTTCGAAGAAATATAGACCTCGCGGAGACCTACAGTATTATAGCAAGCTTAGCTAAAAAAAAAACAGGTTGCTGATTGAGTGCTTGAATCCTTTAAAAATCAGCAGCTAAATTTCTGGCCTTTTTTGCCTATGTCCGAACACTTCGGATGTCTTCGGCGAAATATCCCCTAAATTTTTTTGTTACATATAGGTAACAAGTTTTCGATTGACACAAGGACAAAATGAATGCCAAAAGTGGCGTCTGCCTGATGACCTTGAAAATCAGCATTCTAAATCTTGCTTTTAACTGCTGCCGCTACAGAACACGCACCTATCTAAAATAGGAAATATTTGATTTTGATAGATACTGGTGTATCATAGCAACTGTTGACTGTTGGGTGCGCGATTCAGTTGGTTTGTGACCGTTGCCTAATATAGGATAATTTTCGTCTCCGTAAGATTTTTTTAACCTAGAATTAACTCAATAAAAGACGTGAAAGCCATTCAAGGCAGAGTTAGGCTATTAAAATGGTTATAATGAATAAGTTATGTGATATACAGTGTAACCCGGATATAAGCGAGTTGTCGGGACCGGAGAAGAAATCTCTTATATCCTGGTTTCTCTTATATCCGGGTTTGGTCTATTATATACATTAACACAGGCTCTAATTTGGGACCAGAGAAAATCTCTTTATATCCGGGTTTCTTTATATCCGGGTCTTTATATCCGGGTTACACTGTATATATATATATATATATATGTATATATATATATATACTTACGTGCTAATACCCTTGGGAAAGGTATGCATCCTCTTCATCTCCCTCCAGCTATGGGTAAAATAGCAGACAGACTGGGTTCTATAGCCTTGATGACAACTGGTCTAGGAGAAGGACAACCTGAATTCAAACCTGCGGAGGGTCGTTTGGGAACCTTGTGGCATGCATTCGGTGCACCAGGTTTCTGTATTCGTCCCTCCAAAAGTGTGGCTGGTCCTGCACAAGGCCTCACCACTATAAACAAATCTCATGTGCCGGTGTCGGGATGTCGGTTCCTGGGGACTTATCGGCCTGACCTCATACGTCGAACGCGACAGGAGAGTCGATTATATATATATATATATATATATATATATATATATATATATATATAATATAATATAAGACAAGGTAATAAGTGAATATTTTGAGGATAGACCAAATAAATTACCCTTGACATAATGAGTTTAAGATTGTAGTGGTTTACGAAACATCCACTTTTGTGTGTGATCCACAAATGTGCGTTTTCTTTAGGAAAAAGCTGGAGTAAGGGGAAAATGGCGGCGATTTGACACTGTGGTAGATAATATCGATTTTAATGAAAGGGGTAATATTACGATTACTGTATTTAATTATTTATATTTAACTATAAAAAGAAGAACGTTTATAATCGGTACTTTCATTTCTGATGTACAGTTCAAATGTGAATGATCTAAGTCTTTTAGGAACCCCAGAAATCTTGTTCTTGCTATAATGATTATCATGGTGAGAATAATGACTGGTTCAGGATCTTTGCCACTTGATCTCATGACACGTGCTCTTCCTGTACGTTTTAGATACCCGACGCGTAATCCTATTGTCGAATGTTAACAGACACTAAAAATATTCGCTTACTCAATTTTAATCTTTTCGCCCTAATTATCGGCCTGACCTTTTCCCCGTATACAAAAGCCGATTTCATTCGCCATTTTCCTTTGGCTGCTGAATTCCGTTTTGTCTTAGTTTCTTTCTGTCCTTTTTGTTTCTTTGTTTTGTTTTGTTTTTTCTAATTTTTTCTTCTATTTGTTAGTCTGCCTCTTTCGTTTCCTCACGTTTCTTTCTTTCTTTTTTTCGTTGCTCCTTTTTCTTTCTCTTTATTACTTTTCACTCTGTCTCTTTATTTATTTATTTCTTATTTTCTATTTATTTATTTTTTGTTTGTTTGTTTGTTTGTTTCTTTCTTTCTTTCTTTCTACATTCCAATCTTTGTCTTCCCATCTTTCTTTCTTTCTTTTCTTTTTTTCTTTTCTTTCTTTCTTTCTTTTCTTTCTTTCTTTCTTTTCTACATTCCACCCTTTAGTCTTCCCATCTTTCTTTCAATTCTTTCTTTTTTCTTTTCTTTCTTTCTTTCTTTCTTTCTTTTTCTTTCTTTTCTTTCTACATTCCACCCTTTGTCTTCCCATCTTTCTTTCAATTCCTTTCTTTCTTTCTTTCTTTCTTTCTTTCTTTCTTTCTACATTCCACCCTTAGTCTTCCCATCTTTCTTTCAATTCCTTTCTTTCTTTCTTTCTTTCTTTCTTTCTTTCTTTCTTTCTTTCTTTCTTTCTTTCTTTCTTAACGTTTTGGTCATCCCAGTGAGCTACCTTCTTTCTTTCTTTCTTTCTTTCTTTCTTTCTTTCTTTCTTTCTTTCTTTCTTCTCACATTCCTTTATTTCTTTTCTTCTTTATCTTTCATCGCCTTTTTGTTTGTCCTCATCTCTAATTTTTTTTTTATTCGGCCTTCTCTAGTCAATGTAATTGTCGCAATAGATTCAATGAATATTTCCTCATTTCATGTCAATATCAATTTAAATAAAACCCCGTCCCCTGGTGCTTAATTATTTCCATACAGAAACCATTGGGATATTTAGGTTCGCTCACTTCTGAATGTTTTTTTCCAGGTCGAAGGTCAAGTGCTAATTTTAAATTCTTTATGTTGTCGTTGCCGAGAACAAATTGCTCAGTTCGAAACAAATCGCTTGAACTCGACCAAAAACAGCAACAATAAAAATTACCAACACAAGAGGGGAAAAAAGGGATACAATCAAGATATTAACTTTCCACCCCAAGAAAAAGAAAACTCTTAAGAATATTAGAATTATCTATAATATTTAGTGGACGTAGAAGAATATGAGATTTCAGAAAGTGTCAAGACTACAACGGTATTGACAGGGTGGACTGATGCTAACCGACTGGAGAGTTAATTATTACGCCTTCTCTGACTAACGTTTACTGCTGACAGGAAGTAGAAAGATGATATCGAATCAATTCCTAGGTCTGCTGCTAGAAAAGTTGATTCTCTGTACGTGCCAGACAATTTCTCTCGACAGAATCTGTTTTAGATATTTATAAGTCTACCACTCGTCCTTGCTTCGAATATTACTGTCACATCTGGTCAGGTGCTTCTGCTAGAAATTCTTGATAACATCATAAGAAAAATCTGCTATGTTATTTGTCTTGACCTTGCATCTCGGTTTCAGTCAATTCTCATCGTCATAATGCAGTGCCCCTGTGCCATTAAATTTAATTGGGATCTGTTTGGTTTTGGTTTAGTTTGTTTTGTTTTACGGGTTATCAACCTCAATGGTTTATTTAATGCTGACAATTTTTATTGCTGTTAATATTTTTTCCTTTCGAAAATCTATTTCTGGTAATACTTTTTCCAAAAATGTCTTGCTGGTAATATTTATAAAAAAATATATATTGATGGTAATAATTTTTTACAAAGTATTTCTGGTATCAAAACCTATTTTTTTACATTTTCATACTGCTTTTACCCCAGTTTTGGGGGGGTTAACTATTTGCGCATATCTGGGACCCTAACAGGTGCTACCACCCTGGGTCAGGGTGGTCCTGGGAACACTAGTAATTAATAGATGATTCCACGCACCTCAAAACCTCCTGATCAGAGGCCTTGCTGCTGGTGACTGATCTGATTAACTTTCCTATGTTATGCATACATATTATGAATTTCAACGCAGTACTGAATTAGCGGCAAGGTCTCACCATTTCACAGATGTTGTGTCTAGATGTAACCGCAAGTTCTTTGCTAACAGTTTCTTCTCCGGAACTTCTAGCTTTTGTTACTCTCATCCGGCTTCTTGCTTCTCAGTCAAAAATTAACCTTCAAAAATTTAAGTGCAATGGAAATCGTTATGATCTGTCCTATTGATTCGTGTTATTTTATTGTACTCTCTCCATAATAGTCTTTATATCTGATGTCCTCTAAAACTTAGTAATCTTTTGCGTCTTAGTGGCTTTATTTCCTTGATTGGGCTGAAATGATGACATAAATAAAAATAAAACATTTCGAATCATTTCAACCCAAGCAAGGTGATGATGCCACTAAGACTTAAGGGAGTGGAAGAGAATGAAACTTTAATAAGGTGAAAGGACAATAAAAGAACGGTTTCAGGGAGAGAGAAGATGGCGATTGGTGTTGAATCTTTGCTGATGGCAGGGAAGCAAGAAATCGGAAAAAAGTTCCACAGGCGAGAAGTGCGAAAGAAGGAAATATTAGAATAGAACTGACGGTTGCATCTCGCTAATTCAACAGTAAAACGGTGAGACCTACTTGCCAATCGAGTAGTGCGTTTAAATTAATTCATTCGAAGTATCAAGGAGGAGAGCTATTTAGAACAACTGCTATAAAAATATTTATAGAAAAGACATATTACATCGGTGGGAAAAAAAAAATCAGATACAGAGATGCCACATCTGAACCGATCACATTGCAGAATCATCTTTGGATTTTGTCGAGAATCTTAATATATATAGGCCCAATCTGGCAGTGATATTCAATATAAAAATGCACGATGAGTTCTGGTGAGAAAAAAGGATTGACACGGCTAAATTCTTCGCAGCAAATCTAGCAATTGCTTCAATATAAGCTTTCCACTTCATTTCAGTAGGAAATGTGAGCCCAGCATGGCACAATATATCGCACTCTTGAAGGTTACCATGTACCACACTGATGGAGGGGTGTATAAAAATATGAGAAACAAGCAAGACTACGCTAGTAATGGCGTCCGAGGGGCTACTGAAATAGGTGCTGGGCATTTGAGTAGGCTGGCTCTTACACAACCTCCAGATAGAAGCCTAAATCATCTTAAATAAAAGTAATGCTGAAGACGAAGGTGCGTTTATCACAATCACAACGGTACGCGATCGGGAAAACGACAAAGCTGATCTGAATTTGAAGAGGCAAATAAGACAATAGGATTAATAATTCATAATAAATACCGTCCGTGTTAGAATATAAATGCTTCAAAATGCCGCAATCGTTGTCTAGTCACCTGATCCCAAAGTAAATCCGATCAGAGAACACACCCACCTTTAATCCAGGAAATCATTGCTTATCTGGTTTGATTGACTTTATCTTTTGTAATAGGAACACACACATAGATACATATATATATATATATATATATATATATATATATATATGTGTGTGTGTGTGTGTGTGTGTGTGTGTGTGTATGATCTATTCTTGTGAGTATATATATATATAGAGAGATGCATATATATATATATATATATATATATATATATATATATATATATGCATTTGTTCTTACATATATCATGATTATTCAGTGATGTTTACGAGATTATTGTTGTGAAAGATTGCTTAAATGACCAAAATTAAAGACTAAAGTAGGTAGGTTTTGAGATATATATATATACAATGCATATATTTTGCCAGCATGAAACCATTGCTTATCTGGTTTGATTGACTTTTTTTTTACATACGTGTGTGTGTGTGTGTTCTTATTCTTGTATATATATATATATATATATATATATATATATATATATATATATATATATATACACGCATATATGTGTGTGTGGGTGCATTGTGTTTGTAATCCTACAGTTTTATACGTGTCTGAAATTAATTTAATTTTCTAAGGATTAAAAACAAAATCCAATCAAATCTAAACAGCCCTTTAAGAAACTATCAAAGTATAAAAAAACAAATAAATAAACACGAAAAAGACTGTAATTAGAAAATCAATTAGTAAGTATTAATACATAGTAATAAAAACAACAGATCCTGTGAAAAAAAGGCCATTGTAGCCAGATAAAGATTCCAGCCCAACCTTACACGACTTCAAACATTTGACATATAATAAACATTCGTAATGTCATCACAATAGTGACTCCGTGATAACGAAAAGGAAAAAAAAAACAAAAAAACAAATTACACCTCCATTTCCAACCTATAAATGACTAAAACATTTCTTCAGTTAGTTATTCTGAACATCGCTTGAGAATGAAACGGTACTCTAAATTTTATGTTTAATATTGAAATTAAGCTTCTGGACTTGAGTGAAGTTTCGAAACAGTAATTTCTGTGTCGCGGTGGATTCCTATTTTAAAAAAAAAAATTATAAGATATATATACATATATATATTTTAAAGAAAAACAGACCACTTTAAGGTACCATTATAATAATTTATTTCACCAGAGTCCTTTTAAAGGACGCCGGATCATCAGGTAGCACTTCCAAAACGAAAAATGAAATTAAAATTGATGTGTAGTGTAAGTTTTTATAATTTAACAGAGAGTGTAAGAGGGATAGTTAAAGACACATGGTAGAGTATAGGGAGGGATTAATTTCATATCTCTCTCAAGCATACTTTGTATTGGGGGAGGGGGAGTGACCCGACCTTGACCTATCTCCCCCAATACAGATGATCCGGCGTCCTTTAAAAGGGCTCTGGTGAAATAAATTATTATAATGGTACCTTAAAGTGGTCTGTTTTTTTTTTTGTTTTTTTTTAAATATTAGCTCTGGAGTTACATTGAGCTCTCAGGATTTCATCCTACTTGGGATTACCCATACGGATTACCAAGTTATTCATAACTTTACTATACATTTCTGTATATATATATATATATATATATATATATATATATATATATATATATATATATATATATATTATGTCAACCCAAGAAAGTTGATAAATCTAGTAAGATGAAAGAGGGTTACTAAAAGCGAAATAATATGAGATGGTGAAATATGTTATTATGGAGGGGGGGATAATAAAAGAACAAGAATTAAATTTTATGGGAAACCAGCAAATGGTAGGATAATTCCACAAGAATGTAGTTTTGAGAGAATAAACTGTTAAATGGTTATATTTACCTATTTTAGCTGTAAAATTGTGAGACCTATCTACCAATCTAGTACTGCGTGAAAACACTTATAGTCGATATACCTATATGTGTGTATGTGTGTGCGTATGTATGTGTTTCCTGATTATATAATTATTTACAGCAAAAGAAAATGTTAAAAAATACACTTGTCTGTAATTGGGATTTACGAGGCTCAGGCAAAGATGTACACAAACATGGATGTGTTACCGTTTCTGCCATCGAGCGTTTGTACCTGAATATATGGAAAAACTCACTGACACTCCCAGCGATTTAATGATGTGCGCAAAATGTATATTCTTCTCGATACGTTACGTCAGTGCAGATTAACATTCAGTCATAATACGGATTTAGAAAGATTATCCTCTCACCAAATTTCAAAATACCTCAGTATGAGATAAATTAATAAAGTCAATACTTACGGAAAAGCAAGAGTTTCTTTCATCTAAATGTTCACACACATATATACCAAGATATATATATATATATATATATATATATATATATCCGTCGGTTTCTTCGGAAGAATCCACCCACCCGTATAGACACACACACACACACACACATATATATATATATATATATATATATATATATATATATATATATATATATATATACATATATAACATTTTTACTTTAAAACAAATTTAATTTTATGAATGTTCATAT